ACGGTACCTGCTGTCGCAGCACAGCAAGCTCGATGTCAACGCAGTCGACGCCAAGTTCACGACTGCCATCTATTGCGCGGCCAAGAACGGTAATTACTCCTTCTCCAGTGTCGGTGTGTGTCGGTGTGTCGGTGTGTGCCGTGCGATTGCGGTCAGTGACTGCTTCGGGGGTTCAGGTCATGTGGCGGCCATTCGGGAGCTGGCGAGCGAGGGGGCCGATGTGGACACAGGCATCCAACCGGGCCACTCGGGCGGTTGCGGGTCCGCTCACCTCCCCTTTACATTGTTTTTTTCATTTGTTTACATTTAAAACTAAATCATGTTATTTGTCGTGTTTGTTCTTTTGTCTCCCCGCAGTGGCTGCGCGTGTGGGCTCAACCTAGCGCGGCTTTTCGGACCCAACCCGAGAGCGAAGGCCAAGGGATCGTCGCCGCTCTGGGTTGCGGGTAGACCCTTCTGTCTCTTTCTGTCGCTTTCTGTCACTTTCTCTCTCATCGCTTTGATCACTCTTCGCTCTTTTCCAACCGACAGCGTCGAGAGATGAGCCCGAGGCAATCAGAACGCTGGTGGAGCTGGGCGCCGATGTCGACAAGCAGGCATCAGACGGCACCTCGCCGTTCTATATCGCCTGCAAATGGAACAGGTAACTCTCTTATTACTTGAAAATTGACCAATGCCCGATCGTGATCATAGATGAATGCGCGGTTGTGATCAAGGTTGGGCGCGGTGAAAGCGTTGCTGGACCCGGCCAATACGAAGCTGCCCGACGTGAACGCACCCGCTGGCCCCGAGGAATACGGCGCCTCGCCCCTCTACGTCGCCTGCGACGCCGGCAGGTGCGCCATTCTTCCACGAATCCACCGATGATGGGCGACTCGCCCTTTTGACTCAACTCTCTGTCTCTACGCCCAGCGAGGACGTGATCGAATACCTCCTGGCCAACGCCGACCGCATCCGACTCAACGTCGACGCAGGCAACCAAAACGGCGCCACCCCGCTCTACATCAGCTGGTACGAACGTGTGTGTGTGGTGTGTGCGTGTGCGTGTGCGGTTGTGTGCTGACGGCCACTGACTCTACGTGCCGCGCACAGTCAAGCGGGCCGCGTGTCGCAGGTGGAGAAGCTCATCGCTGCGGGCGCCAACCTGGAGGCCCGGCGCAAGAGCGGCGCCACGCCGCTCCTCATCGCGGCCAGCTACGGCCAGAGCGAGGTGGTCGAGCGGCTGCTGGCGGCCGGCGCGCAGGTCAACATCGTGGCCAGCGACGGCTCGACGCCCCTGAGCTGCGCCGCTGCCGAGGGCCACCAGAGCGTGGTGGCGCGGCTGCTGGCGGCCGGGGCTGACGTGAACGGTGGCGCGCCGGAGAAGCTGGCGGTGCGCGAGGCCCAGCGAGGCGGCCACCTCGGGGTCGTTGTTGATCTGCTCAAGGCCGGAGCCGTAGCGCCTCCCGAAGAAGACGACGAAGAAGAAGATGACGGAAACAGTGAAGATGAGGAAGGGGAGGAAGACAACGAAGAAGATGAAGGCGATGAGACGGCGCTGTGCTGGTGACGTTTGTACACATATGCAATAGAATGTCCTGCAGTTTCCTAGCCTAATGGGCTTTGAAAATAGCATGTATGCAATGGGCCATTACCTCCTTCAGGAGCTTCAACAGTTGCCTGTTGTTGGCCATGACTGATGGCAGGGTGACTTGCACCTACAGGCACAAAAACTGTAAAACAGGACACTCACTTTATCATGCACACATATGTGATGACAACATGTTCAACCTGCTGATACTAAGTTTATTGTGCACACAATCCAGAAAATCTGAACTTTGCTTGTTTTAATGTTGGTGATCCTCTGAACAACTTCAAAATGCACCTTGCCTTGGCTTCATACCCTCAATCAATTCCAAAATCAGTTGCCCACATGATACTCTCACATCCAAAGTGCCCTATAAATTAAAAAAGTCATTGTGGTCATTTGAAATGAGACTGTGGAATTTTTGTTGTGCTAAAATCATGCATGTGACATGTCCACATGTTGAGGTTGAGAAATAATGCACACATACTCCCCTGAAGTTGAGGATAATCACACAGACCTGTGCTTGATCAGCTTTGAGTAGATAGATGAGAACCTCTC